GGTCGAGCAGTCGTATCCGTGCACGTGCTGCAGGCTTCAGCTCGGCCAGCATCACTTGAGCCGCAACTTCTTGAAGGTAATATTCCAGGGTTTTGGTCCGAGCCCAGCGCCCGCGCCAGGCCAAAAGAGGAATATTCTCAGTAGCAATATAAAAATGAGTTGCTCCGGAGCCTCGCAGCACGCCTGGCGTAGCCCCATGCTCTGCAGCTTTGCTTGGAAGGCCAAGCCTGTCAAGGATGGCATTCCACTGCTTGCGGAAGGAATGAGTAGAACCCGGGCACAGGCGGGCATCAGAAGGAGCTCCTCTCGTCAAACTGAACAGGAAGTCAATCGCTGCTGAGTCGTCGATTCGGCCGTGTTGTCGGCGGGCGAACCGAGAAGTCTTGGGGTTCCTGAGGTGAACAAAGAGGCTTGAAGTATGCCCCAACGTGTCTGCAGGAAACATCAGGTCCTTGCGAGTGAGCCCTACAAGCTCTCCTGGATGGAGCATCGCCAGGAAGCCAACTATCACGGCCGCTGCCCAACGAAACCACCCCCAGAGCAAGGCAACACCGATGGCGGCGCGGACAGCCGCGGCGGGCAGCACAGCTCGACATGCGCCCGGTTCTGCTCGCTGCCACTTCTTATCTATCTGCCACGCTGCGGTCAAGAAGTTCCGGCGCTGCGGAAACTTGTCCTGGATCGCCGTAATGGCATAGACAAAGATGTAGCGAGGCAGTCCAGCTTCGTACAAGTGCAGGCCAAAAGCACGCAAAGCAAGCCCAGTAGTGTCAGCGGCTGCCAGCACAGCCGCAGCGTCAAGCTCAGCTTCGTCTCGGAGCCAAGCCAGGAAAGCAAGCAAACTCTTTCGCATCTTGCGCGACGTGCTGGGAGCGAAGCCTGCTTCCAAGTCGAGTGCGCCTCGACGAGCCCGGTCAGGGCCTGGGTTCCGCTCAATGTCACCTGCCAGCAGCAGAAGGAACCTGAGCCATCGCGCGGGATTTCGCGCAATCCGCGCCGACGCAACAACCTTCTCGAAGCGTTCAGGCAGTCCCAACATCAGCTCCTCCAGCCACAGTGGAATGGCTCTGCAGGGTGCAGCGACGTCACGATCCCGACTGGGATTGTCTGCAACATTGTCCTCGGAATAACAATGCAGAAGATTATAGTAGATCCCCGACCCCAAGACATATCCAAGGGACCCTTGAAGGATGCGACTAATTGCAAAGCTGCTGGAGCGACCCTTAGCTGCAGCCCCATCGTGACCCTGGAGTCCAAAAGCG